AGTTCCGATCGTCGCCAGCAGATAAGGTTGGGGGGCACGCAGGACACAGTCGTGCCTCCCAGACCGATGAAAAGAACGTGGCAGATGCGTGTTCGACGTCGGGAAAGCCGTTGAAGTAGTCACACAATGCAACCCCAAGAGAATGTCTAGGAGTGGAATGACACGGAACTACCTTTCGGATAAGTTGAGTAACGGTGCAGAAGGCAACACCGCCAATGTCCGAACAACACTCGCGAGAGCCGCTTGCAAACTCGCGTTACTCTAGATTGCCCAAACAACTGCCCCAAGAGAAAAATAGACACTTCTCCCCGAGGAAAACATGAAACCTTTTTGGCACCGCACCAAATGGCAGGTTAACGTGGCGTGGCGTCCAACCTTTTTCGAGAGAAGGCTGCAACGAACAGAAATAAATCGGTTCATCGTGATGGAAAGGGCTGACGGAGGGGCAAACTATCCAGCGTTGGGGGTAGCTATGGTTGCCGCACCTTAGGGGTGAACATCTTAGGCAACGTCACGAGGCGGACGACGATGAGGAGTCCGATCACAGACGGGAAGAACATCGCCGTCCGCTCGAATGACTTGAGCGTCCACAGGAGGGTAAGCATGCCCGCCTGGTACCAGTACCGGCCATGTCGCCATCCGCGCGGATGCGGACGCACGGAGCCAAAACACACAGGGTTGAGTTGATCGGGACCGACAGAGTTTTCTTCCAGTGTACGGCTGCAGAGGAAACCTCGACGTTTCACGTTNAGTCCGTCCGGTTAAATTTTGCCACCATCTCCTGAAATCACCTTGGGAATTGTTTTGAGTGACTGACGTACCCCCTAGTGACATACTTCATATCGTAAGAAAGCTCTGTTTTCGGCGGATCGTTTGGATGGAGCAGTTTTTTTTTGTTGTTGTTGGCGAGAAAATCACGATTCCGTGGAGATTTTGGACGATTTTGGTTAGTTTTATTTGGTCGAGTGTGAGGTCATATATTTTTTTTTAGACCGGTTTTGAACGTATCACGCCCAGGGGCTCACGGCGACACAACTCAGCTTTATTTTCGCTAATAAACAACGGAGATATGGGCAGAAAACCGCATTTCAGGTGCCCTCAGAGTTTAGTTTCTTGGGGAGTATTGAACCATACGATGTCCAAAAACTCAACGGATTCGGGCGAATTGGACCTGCACCTAGGGACGTTTTTTTTTTTTTCCAAAAAAAATTCGTTTGAGCGAAATATGGCCGCTCAAAGTTTGGTGCTGCTGACACACACACAAAGCCAAACACGAAACACCATAACCCACACCATACAGCAGCACCGGGCACCCCAAGAGGGCCCACACAAGTCTACCCATGTCCGGGCGTCGTGGTGCCGGGCGTCCTCCAAAAAGGAAGCGCGCCTTCAACAAAGCTGGTCAGTTTACAGCTGCTGCTGCACCACCAGAACCACTCGCTGCGGACACTCCACCAGAACATGGCAACGACACATGTTATGAAGGAGACGAGGAGGGCCACAGCAGCAGCAGCCAACACAGCAGTGACAGCGACCTCGGCAGCTGCAGCTCGGGCAGCTCGGGACACGTCAAGTATGACGGCAAGAGCAAACGACACAGACGGCGACTCCGACAAATGCGGCGGGATCAGGAGGACAGGCGGGGTGTGCAAACGCTTCTCCAGATGTGGGCACCACCTTCGTCCTGCAGCACTCCAGCCCCCGAGCCAGCCCCCGAGGACACGCATAACGCAGGAGACACCGAGGATGGGGCGGTGGTCTTCGAGATAGAGGGGGGTGGAGACGACGGTGACGAGCTCAGAAATTGGTTTGGAGAAGAGGACATGCGAGACGTTGACGTGTGCCTGGAGGGACGCAGCTCGGGTTCTGAGGGCCTCATCTTTGGGGGATACTTGGGTGACTCGGGCGACTGCTCGTCCGGGGAAGATGACGCGGAGTCGAACGATGCCGAGGAGATGCCGCAGCAGCCATTAGAGGGATTCCCGCAGCAGCCATCAGAGGGAGCACAGCAGGACCCGCTGGAAGGATGCCCTCCTGGGCCGGCAGATCAAAATTCCGCCGCAAGGAGATCTCCCCGCATCTTGCCCACCGCAACATGCGCGCCACGGCAACGGACAGCGCGGTCAAAGGGTCGGCCCGCTGGACCGGGACGCGGCAAGAACAAGGAGCAAGCTTTCCCCGGAAAGCGCAGCAAAGGCAGCAGGAAGCGGGAGAGGGAGTCAAAAAAATCCGCGAAACGGCGTGCGGAGAGGGAAGCGGCGCGTGTGCAGGCTCAAGAAGAGCGACTCAAGATCTTCGCGAAAGGCAAAGATATTCTCTTTCCGGTGAGTACACACTGCTGTAGCGCTGTACAGCAGTCTTTCAGCAGTAAATGCCCAACTCTTTGTGTCTTGCACTTATCTTTTCGTTTGTTGACGCGATTCCGCTGCACAGCCGTCACACGCTGTACAGCAGGATGTGCCCAAAATCTTTGTGTGTTGCACTTGTCTCCGTTTGATGTAATCCCGCTGCATAGCATTCAGTACAGCAGTGAATGCCCAACGCTTTGCGTCTTGCACTTGTCTATTTTCCGTCCGTTGGTTGTTTTTGCTTTTCCCAAGCTTTACCTGTTACGCCCTCCTGTGTGTGTGTTTTCTTTGTTAGCATCGTCCGCGCTAAGCGGCAGGTGTGTGTGTGTGTGTGTGACAGCTGTTGCTGGCGCGTTTGCTGGCGCGTGTTTGCGTGTGACAGCAGCTGCCGGTGTGCCCCGTAACCTATGAAGCGGATGTCTTACGCTCACCTGTGTATCTTGATACTTGGACGTATAGTATACCTACATTTTAGAAGGGATTTTTGCTGTGGTGCGTCGAGTATCTGTAGATATGCATGCATAGATTGGCGCCTAATTTCGAGTCCCCTCGTCTTCCGTTTGATTAGGCGGTACGGTTCTTACGGCTGGATCACATCGTGGAGAAGCCGGACGAGGCGCTAGCAACCGACAGCAAGAAGGGCCACGCTCTTCGACAGGCGTGCGCCATCTTGGCCTTCTTGTCTCTTGAGTGAGTTTTTACGTGTACGGCAGTAGCGCAAAAGTTGAACATCAGCATTCCCCAGGTAAAATATTCCACCACCAAAAATGCGCCAACCACCCGTAACTTATTTACCACAACGTTCACGTTTGGCGGAGCAGGCTGGAAAACGGACGGCACCCCATCAAGCACAGAGAGATTGCGGCGCTTCCAGCAGGCGTGACCGCTCGAGTGGTTCGGTCGTGGGTGCGTGACTTTCTCGTCAACACGAGGTTCAAGATTCGCGTGCGGCAGCGTTCCAAACACGGCTTGCTCTCGTTCATCGATGATGAAGACCTGCGGGAAGTGATGCGCGAGTGGCTGGACGGCAAAATCTATGGCCGCAAGAACGGGGAGCCGCAGATGCGTGTTCGAGACTTCCAGACGTGCTTATGGAAGTTATATGGTTGCATCTTTGCTGTCCATGTTAAGCGATGGTGGTTCCTGCGTTCAATTTTTGTTTTTAGGCAATAGGCAAGGTGCGTTCGCGTTCACGACGGGGTGACTGGATGGAATCGATGTTCATCCTAGTCCTGTGGACATATACTATCTGTTGCTTGATTTTTCCACAGCAATTAAAGTCGCAACATCCGGCTATTTGGTGCACATGGCAGGTACCTCAACGAGACCCTCCTGGAGCCTTACATGGAAGAGGGTATGCGAGGAATTTCCCTGGATACAGCACACAGATGGCTGCAAGACTTGGGCTTCCGTTGGCGGCGCCACAGAAAGTGCGTCTACGCAGACGGCCACAACCGCCCCGACAACATCAAGAGGAGGATGGAGTACGTGGCCGAGATGATGGAGCTCCAGAAGCGCACAGTCAAGTGCGTATACCCATGATGTGTCAATTTTGCAAGCGTGGTTTTTGTGCAGTCAGCCCCCTTACTCTTTCGGTTTTCACCTCGGAGAGACTACAGCTTGCTTGTTCCCGCATTTGATTGGCGTTTGAGGGTTCACGCATGCGTTTTGCTCCTTGACACGCACAACCTGAACCAGGCACTTGTTGTACCCCTGCCCCTTCCCTCCCCCTACTTTTCTCTTCAGGCTCAGAAAGATCGGAGAGGGTTCTGAAGCCAAGGAGGTTGCACTTTGGCCGGCCGTGTGCGGTGGCGAAGACTCGGGGGCAGAACGTGCGTGGATGCACGTTGAGCTCGCAGGCGAGTGCGCCTGAGAGAAGCGGCACAACCTCAGCATGAGCGGAGAGCTCGACAAGATTCCGCGTGAGGATAGACTCCGGCTATGGTGCACAGAGCGGCAGCGTGAGGCTGCCCAACCGTTGCCGACCGGTTTTCGCTTGCTGGGACCGCAGGAGGTGATGGAGGTGGTGTACCACGACGAGTGCGCCTACAAGCAGAACGACGGAGGAGGGGCAGCGTGGGAGAACGATAAGAAGGGCGCCGCAATGAACCCGAAAAACGAGGGCGCCGCCGTCATGGTGTCGAGCGCTATCGGCGAGGAGCGTGGGCAGCTGGACGTTCCCGAGGACGTTTACGCAATCATGAAGGAGCAAGGGAAGATTCCAAAGGTAGCCACAGATTATAGATAGCTAATACACATCAGATCTGATGTTGAGTGCGGATTTTTTCCGGTGGATGGTTCACAAGTGCGCTCTGTTCTATGCTGTCTCTTGCCAAACTGAAATGCTCCCTGAACTTATACGGCCGTTTTTTGTTCTTGTGTGGGCCTACAGATGGAAACTACCGGGGATGGAGCTAGGCTCTCCAGTAGCGAGTACTACATCGGGCGTTGCAAGCCTTGCGAGGAGCACCCCGACGGCGTCAAGAAGAAGGTGGCTGATGTTGTCAAAGTGCTCGAGCGCGTGCTTTCGGAGCTTGGTATAGACTGCAAGGCCGAGTACAACATCGCGCGCGCCGCCAGGATCATCCTTCGGGTGGGCAAGAACCTCGACGGATACTGGGATTGCAACCGCTTGTGCGTGCAGCTCCCGGTGAGTGCAGTCCAACGTAACCTGGATTGGTATGTATATATCTACGGGTGTACGTCGGGGGTGGATGGATGCAGCTCCCGTTAGGTTTTCCGCACTCGGCAGCAGCGCGCACGTATACCTACTCTTTTTTCGAACGAGATGCTAAATACCCCGCGTCTTGCCCAAATAAACTATTTCCCATCGCATTTCCCATCGCGCTGTCGCTCACACCGACAGGCCATCTTCGCGGCGTTCGAGCTCTCGAGGGAACCAGGCAGACAGATGCTCATGGTCTTCGACAACTCCACGGGGCACAACGCCTTCAGCCCTGACGCCTTGAGGGCGCAGAACATCGCACTCTCTGCGGGAGGCGAGCAGGTACCCCCCCACAGCTTCGAGTACAACGGCCGAACGATCTACACAACGTTTCAGCTGGGTGACAAGCTCCGCTTCAAGACCGCCCCATTCGCTAGAAAGACAGAGGAGGAGAAAACTGGTGAGCTGCACTTTAGGGTTCTTTTGTTTTTGCCACCGGATTTAGATCTAGTTGTATTGCAAACCTTTGTTAGATTCGAAAATCCCTCATGCATCACCGACGCTTTTCTCGCTCAACTTGAATTTCACCAAAACACCTTTCTAACCATGTCGACTCCATTGTTTGCTTTCTGCTTCTAACCCTAACCCAACACAGCTAAGAAGCGCAACGGAAAGAAGCTGGGAGTGTTCCCGATTGGAACGGTTATCCGACAGGGGACCCCCTCCGAGAAGCTGGTGGGGATCGCCAAGGGGATGAAGGAGATTCTGGAGGACATGGAACTCTACAAGCTGGACGGCGAATCGAAACCGCCAAAGCTGGAGTGCCAAAGGTGAGCCCATGATATGTTCGTGCCTGTTTCGGGGGCTGCACTGCCTACTACAACGCTGGCGGGCCCTCGATGCTTTTTTTTTGTGCATCGACAACTCTTTGACATGTGTTCTCGTGGAATATGTTTTCCATGGTTTCCTTTGTACGCGAACGTCAACCAATACACAATGGCGCTGCATCTTTCTGCATGCTCTGTGCGCTCCCTGTTTCTCTCTACTTAAGGTGCCTAGACGAGGCTAAGGCCAAGCGCGACAAATCCAAGATGTACAACAAGGGAGGGGAGAGCCGGCAGCAGGCGCTCGCAGACAACGAAGACTCCGACGACCCGGACGCAGGGGGCGAAGGTGGTGCTCGCGGTACAGACGGCACGTCTCGAAGATGCTGCTGCCGTAGAATCATCAGCGAGGTCAAGGCTTTCCAGGAGCAAATGAACCGAGTGGAGGAGCTGTTCGAGGCTGCTGGGCACGTGTGCATCTTCCTCGCAAAGTGAGTTTTAAACTGTTGCGGAGGAGTGTCTAGAAACATCGAGGGTTTCGAGTTGTGGTCGTTCATTTCTCAACAGCGTGGTGTGGCTCGAATTCCAAGGGAAAACTACACACTTAAATTTACTCTGCTCTTTCGTGCTGTCGACAGATACCACCCGGAGCTCAACGCTATCGAGCGTTTCTGGGGCTACACCAAGGCTATCGAGCGCCGCGTTTGCGACTACTCCGTACAGAGTCTGCNCAGCAGCACCAGCCGCCGCGATATTGTTGGCCGATGATCGAACACCCAGGCAAAGATGACCGCCTACAGGGTGGCCTTGTGTGTGTGCGTGTTTGTTATCGACCTAATGTATCTAGATATCTCACGTTAGGGTGCTATCATTATGACAAGTATAGCTTGGGGAGCTGCTGTCACGATCAATATAAAATATTATCACATTCAATAACTGCTAGTATGTCGGCGTTTCGAGGCAGTTTCAGGGAGAATGGGGGTCCCGTGGGGGTTATTGGCGGCCCCGTGAGTGCATGTGGGGCCCCGTGGGATCATAGGGGGGGGTCAAATTCGCCAAAAAGTGGCCAAATACACGGATTTTTTTTT